TAAAAAAATTGAATTTAAAAACAAGCTTTAAAATTCTTTTTTTTTTTTGGGGGGGGGTTGGTTGGGGGTGGTTTGAGGGTAGGGACAAAATAAATTAATTTTTTCAACAAAAAAATAATTGTAATTTGAAGTTGGAAGAGAGTTTTGGAAAATGTTTTCCTTAAGTTTAGAAGGGAAGTCATTTTCCTTAAATTTGAGGAAAATGAGTTGATTTGGAAAACATTTTCCAAAACATTTAGCCCAACCAAACATGAGAAAATTGGAAAACATTTTCCGGAAAATGTTTTCCTTCATACCAAACACACCCATAGTCACAGCCCATTCTCTTAGTTGGGAAAAAACACTGCATTCATTAATTTCGGAAAGGACATCATCACTTATGAAATGATGAATTGGATTCAGAAGAAATTCAATGACAAACAAGACTAAGTCAACTCGTGAAGCAACACGGTCATTAATGGTGGGTCTCAGATGTACGTAGATAACACGTTCAAATTCATCTTTTTATATGTTTTACATAATCATAACTCTTATACCAACTATTCAAGTCGTTTGTGTTTCTTTGTTTGATTTTTACTTAATATAAAATTTTCAAATTGGAGCTGTGATGATTCGAACATAATTGAAGCGAAGAAAGTAAATATTAATATATATTACTATTTGTTTCTTTATATAATATAGACTATATAATAAAGAGTTGACATTGACATGATAAATTAGGGCTAAAACACATTAGCAAGTACCTATTGGCGTCTCCATTTAATATCTTTTAAATTTGTTTACGCAATTGGACCTAGCTATTCGATCTCTTTGGTAGGGGGCTAAGCTAGTAAGAGGGGAGGCATTCAATTGAATCTACTTAGTTAACAAATTATTTCACTTTATTTTTCATAGTTTGACTTGACAAAAATCAATAATTTTGAAATGTATAGTATTAAATATGTCAAAATATTATTAGATAAAAGAAACTTTAGTTAGATTTAAAGAAATTATCTAGTGTATTTTGTCAGGCGCATATTTTGTTCATCGCCTCACTTTTTATTTTTATTTTTAAATGGGGTTTAATTTCCCTAAAGCGTGTGGAAGGATTATTCAACTGCCCCTCTTGGCAACTTCTTTTGAATGACTTAGTTGACAATGACCATTAAAACATTAATTTTCCTTAAAAAAGAAAAATGTCCTATTAATTTCCAGAACAACTAGACTTAATCTAATAATCCGAAACCTAATCAAGTTGTTAATATTCTAATTAGAATCAACACCCGATAGATGGTCAATTATTATCAAGAGAAATATTCAATATTTGATTGATGCCTCTAATGAAGGTTAACCTTGCCTAATTCATGTAATTTGTTGACTTTTGTGACAAGTAATGACCTAGTAAACTCGACGTGGTGTGTGATTTTATAATTCATATGTTTTTTATAGGAAAAAAATTTGAAGTTGGAGGTCAATCATTTGTGTCAAATAATGTGAACAAAATAAAATAACATTTTCACGTAGAAGTTTTTTTTTTTTTTTTTGGAGGAGGTAAAAGTCTATATGTTGAAAATTTAGAGAGTGAGTTGGCTAAATGGAACAATTCCTTATTCAACTAGTAAATGCAACAGATAGCTGTGCCTGTCATTCATAGATATTATTTTGTCGTGGGAAGCAGAACTTGAAAAAAGGATTTAAAGTTAAAGTTCTCTTTTTGATTTTGTCGAGGAGTTGTGATTTTAATTTGTGAAGTTGATCACATCTATGGTAGTTTCTTGGGCAATGATACCGCGAATTCTTCTCTGTTTTCTGTTTGTTTTGATCCATGTTCTGTCAATAGCAGCACGGACAAATCCTGATGATTGTAAGTTGCTTTTGCTGTTATGTACAATATATTTTATTTGCTCTTAGCTATTCTTCTTGTTATTTATTATATGAAGAGTTCATTTTTCATATGGTCAGTCGACTAATAGTTGAGTGATCTTATTATTCAGCTGCTGCTTTACAGTCTCTCAAGGATAGTTGGCAGAATGTTCCTCCCAATTGGGTTGGAGCAGATCCCTGTGGGAGTAGTTGGGACGGAATTGGATGCAGAAATTTACGAGTGGTTTCTATGTAAGAATTCGACGTGTATATCTTTGTCTACTGCTTAAAGTTACATATTTCATAAGGTTGATGTCATTTTTCTCAATTTCAGAACATTGTCAAGTATGAGTTTGGAAGGTCAGCTATCTGGGGATATCCAAGGATTAGCTGAATTGGAGACTTTGTAGGTTTTCCTTTCACTTGTCATGTTTCTCGTTCACGCCCTTTCTTTCTAATGACTGAGCAATACTTTGGGATAATTTGTCATTTCTAATTATTGATTACATCTTATAGGGATCTATCATACAACAAGGAGTTGAAAGGATCTCTTCCTCAGTCAATTGGAAAATTGACAAAGCTATCAAATTTGTAAGTGAATGTGAATTAACATCATGCATTCGTTTACCAGCTAATGTTGTGATTATATGATAATGACCTTTTCTTAATTTCATGACAGGATCCTTGTTGGTTGTGGATTTTCTGGACCAATACCAGACACCATAGGATCTCTGACCCGGCTGGTTTTTCTGTAAGCATTCTGCGGTACTCTTTGTACTTTGAACGCATAACCAGCATGTGACATATCTTGCCAGAGTGCAAAGAAGTTCGCTCATTTATTTGGTTTAAGGTGTTTGACTGAACAGATACATAAGATGATGGCTCAGGGATTTTATATTTATATCAGCTTAAACTATGATTTCTTAGCTTTTTTGTTATATACATAAGACCTGATCATTTTTTATTTTTTGTCTGAACGAATGAAGTGATAAGCATCTTGAATGAAAGGTTTCATGACAGCAAAAGAAAATGGTCATCTATGAGCTGCTTAAAATGACTAACGTAATGCGTGCTTTGATGCTAGCTGTACTCAAAAGTTTGGTTCATCTCTAGGAGAGGCAATACAATTCTAAACAGTGAAATCAGTTCATGAAGAGTTTAATCCATACTGCTATTCTTGTGTTTATACATTTATCAAATCTGAATAGTTGTGTTTTTACCATATCTATCTGTGTATGATTTCTTTCGGTCCTTCTTCTCGTATACGCTCTAAAACAGCCCCATTCTTTACTATGCAGATCTTTGAACTCTAACAACTTTATTGGAGGAATACCTGCTGGCATTGGCAATCTGACACAGCTTTCTTGGCTGGATTTAGCTGACAATAGGCTTACAGGAACAATTCCAGTCTCTAATGGGAGCACTCCTGGTCTTGATATGCTTGTTCACACTAAACACTTGTACGCTTCTCCTTTTTCTTGATATTGTTGTCTACTTGTCTCTCAACTGCATTTTCTAAGACTATATACATTTCTTCACAGTCACTTTGGGAAGAATCAGCTATCCGGTGAAATTCCAGCTGGTCTTTTCCATTCTAATCTGTCTCTGATACATCTGTAAGTTCCATTCTTGTTTCTGAAAGTAGTCATGCGGAAGAATCTTGATAATTAGTATATCACAAAAAACTTTCTTTTCGACCATGCTTTCCGGTTTCCTCATGCTTGTATATTCTAACTTCTAGGCTAGTTGAGAACAACAAGTTTACTGGAAATATCCCTGATACATTAGGACATGTCCAGACGATGGAAGTGCTGTAAGTATTATTATCTTGTGCTTTCCCTTTATAGACTAGTAAAGTTGCTTGCTTTCTATATACCTTATGAATTGTTTGTGAACTAAGCTATTGGTCCTGTCAACAGTCGGCTTGACAGGAATTCATTTAGTGGATCTGTGCCACAAAATCTCAACAATCTCACACATGTCAATGAACTGTAAGTAGAAACTGATTGTTTTTTTCTGAACCTACTGCATCTCCTTATGATTTCCTGATGTAGTTTATATTGACCATATATTACAGACACATGTCGAACAATAATTTTAATGGTCTTTTGCCGAATCTCACTGGCATGAATGTCCTCAACTACTTGTAAGTTGCTTATTTGCCTTTATCCCTTTGAGTTGATAATGTATTATTTCTCAACATCGTACTGTGTATATATAACCCGAATCTATTTGTTTTGTAAATATCACCATGGAAACTTATTTTTGCAGGGACATGAGCAATAATTCATTTAATGCATCAGATTTTCCATCATGGATCCCGAACCTGATATCTTTAACATCATTGTATGCTCTCTCTCTCTCTTTCCTTTTTCTTTTTCTTTTTCTTTGTGTGTGCATGTTTGGGAATGCACAACCACGAGCAGGTGCATAAGTACATGTATACTGTGCTAGTGTATGCCTGCATCCATTTGAATATGCACAGGTTTCCTGTTTTTTCTTCCCATTCTTATGGATTCAATTCCTAGAAGTTCTTTAAGCCTAATGAATGACCTTGTATTGGCAGGGTAATGGAAAACACAGGACTTCAGGGAACAGTTCCAGGTAGCCTTTTCAGCCTTTACCAGCTGCAGACAGTGTAAATGTCCCTTTTACTTTGTGTCGTTATTGTATAAACTATAGATTGAGTATCTGAAGTTAAATTTATCTTAACTGAAATGCCCTAACTCTGTATTATGCTGAGATTTGATGACAATGTGCTCATTGCTTACAGCATCTTGAGGAATAACAAACTCAACGGCTCACTTACAATTGATACAACATATAGCAACCAGTTGCAGCTCATTGATGTGCAAAGAAATCTAATTGAATCATTTACTCAAAGACCAGGGTACCCCTTTCAGATAATGTAAGCTCTATTCCTTGATTCTTCGAGCCATAAACCACCAAGTTGTTGAGAAACACATATGTTGGACAGTTCTTTGGCCTAGCTTATTGTGAGATATGATTTATATCATTTTCATTAGCTCATTTCTTTACGTTTTCTCTCTGCAGGCTTGCAGGCAATCCTTTTTGCAACGAAGGAGGAGATGGGACACAAGATTACTGTGTCAAAAGTCAACAAACTGAGACATATTCAACCCCACCAGAGAATTGCTTGCCAACAGACTGCAGCTCTAATCGAGTTTCTAGTCCTACCTGTAAATGTGCTTTTCCATATACAGGCAACATAGTCTTCAGAGCTCCTTCCTTTTCGAACTTGGGAAATAGAACTACTTATGAGATTCTCCAAAAGTCCTTGATGCAATCCTTCCAAAATACTAAACTGCCCGTGGAATCAGTTTCCCTCAGTAACCCAACAAAAAATTTGGATGACTACCTTGTAATACACCTACAAGTTTTTCCATCTAGCCAAGATTTTTTCAATCGAACTGGAGTTTCTGGAATAGGTTTTGTGCTTAGTAATCAGACTTTCAAGCCCCCATCGTCATTTGGACCTTTCTTCTTCATTGGTGAAGGCTATAAATACTTCGACGGTAATAGAACTAATTCCTTTTCCTTTTTATCACACATTTCTCATCTACTACATATATGTGCAGCCTAATCTATAATAATATAAATTGTAAGTGAGCCGTTGGAGCAGCATCTTAGTGAAGTTGATAGTTAAGAAGTCTGAGTCTATGTCTATGCTGTTCTCCAGGGGCATCCTCCGAATCAAAAAAATCAAGTAGTACAGGCATTATTATTGGAGCAGCAGTTGGTGGTTCTGTCATAGCAATTATAGCACTTATTATTGGAGTTTATGCTTTCCGGCAAAAGAAAAGAGCTGAAGATGCTGCAAAGAGGAGCGATCCTTTTGGTAAGATTTGTAACAATCTAATCAGACCATTTACTTATTACCTCATCTTATGGTGGCTGTTTGCTATCTTTCTTCTTAATGCAGCATCCTGGGACGAGAATAAACATAGTGGTGCTGTTCCACAGTTGACAGGAGCTAGATTTTTCTCATTTGAGGAGCTCAAAAAATGGACCAATAATTTTTCAGAAACGAACGATATTGGTTGTGGTGGCTATGGAAAGGTTAGCTTTTATTGAACATGCGCAACCCCCTCCCCTCCACCGTCATCATAATTGAAAATATCAGTATATCAAGAAGTTTGTTTGAACCAGCTTCTCTCTCCAATGAAAGAATTTCTTGGACTACAATTGGAACTGTAATGAGTTTTTAAACTATAGAAGTGTGTCTCTACAGGTTTACAGAGGTACTCTTCCAAATGGAGAATTGGTTGCAATTAAAAGAGCTCTACAAGGGTCTATGCAGGGTGCACATGAGTTCAAAACTGAGATAGAGCTTCTCTCAAGGGTTCATCACAAGAATGTCGTTGGCCTTGCTGGATTTTGTTTCGATCAAGCTGAACAGATGCTTGTGTACGAGTATATTCCTAATGGCACCTTAAAAGACGGTCTTTCAGGTATATGTTGGTCCCTTCTTATTTATTCATTGAAGCTAGCTCCTTTTAACTTGATCAAAACAGAAATGTACATGTCGAAAATGTAATGAAATTTGCACTTGTAGGTAAGACTGGAATCAGGTTAGATTGGATGAGGAGACTGAGGATAGCCGTTGGAGCAGCCAGAGGTTTGCAGTATTTGCATGACCTTGTCAATCCTCCCATCATACACAGGGACATCAAATCCAACAATATTTTGCTGGATGATCGCCTAAACGCAAGAGTTGCTGATTTTGGCCTGTCCAAACTTCTAGGTGACTCTGATAGGGGTCACATTACCACTCAAGTCAAAGGAACAATGGTGAGTACAGATTCTATTAACGCCTTCCTGAACTTGTTTCGTGTTAGAATATTATAGACCTGTATCCCTCAAATTTAATCATGTGTCAATAGTTTCTAGTCAAGTAATCACCATTACAAACAGTATCTCATTGTCTAATAAATAAATAGGTACATTATTTACCTCATAATAATGTCCTTTTGACGGATTTATCAGGGATACATGGATCCTGAATATTACATGACAAACCAGCTGACTGAGAAGAGTGATGTTTATAGCTTCGGAGTGGTGCTGCTTGAGATAGTTACAGGAAAAGTACCTATTGAAAATGGAAGATATATTGTCAGGGAAGTGAAGAGTGCAATGGACAAATCAAAAGATATGTATAACCTTCAAGACATTTTGGATCCTGCAGTTCGCGCAGGTGCAACTCCTAGAAGCTTAGAGAAGTTTGTGGATTTAGCACTCAAATGTGTTGAAGAAGAAGGAGCCAACAGACCTTCAATGAATGAAGTGGTGAAAGAGATTGAAAATATCATGGAGATCGCGGGACTGAACCCGAATGCAGACTCTGCATCTTCTTCAGCAACCTATGAAGGACCAAACAAAGGCATGAACCATCCATATACTGATGAAAGTCTCTTTGTCTATAGTGGAGCATATCCTAATTCAAAGGTAGAGCCAAAGTAAGATCAGTGTTTTTGTGGTTTTTCTTAGCTTGTGGAATTAAGATTGACACATAATATGCTTTGCCCTGTTACGTGTGTACAAATTTGAGAGAATGATTCAACTAATTTTGTCTTTGGAGTAAATTATTGTACAACAGAGAAATACTTTCTTTCTTTTTTTGAAACATTTATTTTTACCTTCTGTAAAAAGTGTGTAAACTTTTTTCTGATATCAATTAGGATGATCATTTGTATATGAGAATTCACATATTTTCATCCTAATATAAATTGTGCATTCAATGTTGTTGCAGCTATGCCAAAGTTTCTGCAACTATTTGTGAAAAGTTGACATGAGATCAATTGTACATTTTTATCTTATATAACAGCCTTTCACCTAATTGTGGCAGAAATGTTTTCCAACTCTTTACAATTTTTTAAGATTTGAATTTTGATGTTTTTTACAAGAAATATTCTTTTTTTATCCGTTACAATTTGAATAAAAGAAAATGGTCTTTTTAAAAATTTTATGGGTAAAAATGAAAGATCTCGATAAAAAAAGTAAAAATTACAAAACCAAAAAAAATATTGTAAGAAGCCTAAAAAACAATTCTCCCACTAGTAAGCGGGAAGGGTTCAATTGAATATTATTTGTGAAAATTTTATAGAATATGAAAGGATAATTTTTTTTTTAAAATTACACTAGGAAAGCAAACACAATTGGCATTTCAATGAGGTACCAGACACCCAATTGAAAACCAAAAAGAAAAAAGTTTTCATGTTTTAAAATACTAGTTCTGGAAACATGCGTTGCATGTTTCTTTTTTGGAAAAATTAGCAATTAATAAATAGTTAAAATGTTGCTAATGAGTCCCACTAAAGACTTAAATATTGTTGTTTTGCTAATTTTCCCTTATTTTTTACTGTCATACAAATTTGTATAGGGCTAATCTAACGTTGATAATTATCAATCACATTATTCTTTTGTATTTGTTGTTCTATGCAAATATAATAGTGTCAATTAATTCTTTTCATTTAATTTTGGTTATTTGTTTGCAAAATAAAAAAATTAGGGCTGATGGATTTTCACATTACTTGGATCGGATTTTACTAAATGGGTCAAATATAATACTAAATAGAAAGTATTTTTTTAATTTAATTATAATAAAAGAATATACACATGGAGCCATGTAGGCGCCACGTGGACTAATAAAAATGGTGACATGATAAGTTAACTATATAAGGGCAAATATGTATCCAAAGTTGGATGGTAAGGGCAAATATATCAAAAAAGTGTGACGAAGAGTAAATATGACCCTTTTCTAAGAGTACAAGGGTAGATATGACCCTTTTCCGATTTAATTTTAATGAAAACCATATTTTTATCTCCAACGTTTGATGAGTATGATTAATTTTATAGATATATATATATATATATATATTAAATGTAATTATCTTTTTAAACTTTTCAACTTTTAAATTAAGAGTAAGTAAGACTATATAATAATTAGAAATTTATTTACTAATATTTAATTAATTAGATTATGATTTAGCGTAGGGGTCCACTTTTATAATTTTCATATATTTAATTTTCTTAATCTTGACCTTTCAAATTTCTCACACAAATAATAAAAGACTACAAATGAGTAATTATTTCTTAAAGACAAGAAATTAAAGTAGATACATGTATCTTTTAAAGTCAAATTTTATGTTCTATCTTTTTATATTTATTTTAATAGTAATTGACCTTTCAAATTTCCATGCGACTTTTCATATATATATAATTATCTTTTTAAACTTTTAAATTAAGACTATATAATAAATTAGAAATTTATTTACTCATATTTAATTAATTAGATAGATTATGATTTAGTGTTGGAGCAAAATAGTAATCTAACTTTTATCTTTGTAGGAAAACAACTTCTCTAGCTTGTGAATAAGATTTGCTTATGTACTATTATTTCAAACTCCATTTGCGAAATTATACTGTACATATAAACTGATGAATCCAGGGTACAGTAATCAAGGTTATTATTATGTAATAAGTTGGAATTTCAACTTTGATACAAGGTATGATCTCACTTTCAACTGCTTATGTACTATTATTTCAAACTCCATTTGCGAAATTATACTGTACATATAAACTGATGAATCCAGGGTACAGTAATCAAGGTTATTATTATGTAATAAGTTGGAATTTCAACTTTGATACAAGGTATGATCTCACTTTCAACTCATGGCGTTCAACTTCCCTAAAGCGTGTGGAAGATTCTTCAACTGCCCCTCTTGACATTAACTAGTTGACAATGACCCTTAAATTTAATTTTCCTAAAACAAGTAATTTTACCTTTTAATTTCCATAAACTAAACTTTATCTAATTATCATGAGATTGTTAATGTTCATTCTAACACCCAATATCGAGAAATATTCAATATTTGTTTGATGCCTGTGAAGGTCTTTTATTTATTTATTTGTTAAATTGGGTGTAGGGGAAGGAGATTACCAGGTGGGAATCGAACCCTCATCGGTGAAAGTTTAAGAAGCCAACCAACGAGAATAGGGTCATGCACATTTCAAGCTGAAAGAGTAATGTTTGTCTCTGACAAAACAAGTCACGTTTATTTTAGGAATTTTCAATAAATTCTTTCTTATTTTGAACTATGAACTTTTTATATGTTCTCTCTGTTCAAGAGTTTCTCCTTTTGAGGAACCACCAAATGAGTTTTGTGTTTTATATCTATAGCTGCTCAGTCCATTACGACATTCTCCTCTTGATCACCGGATAATATTGATAGAAAAACAGTCACACCAAAATAAAAGCCTCCTCGGATCGACCCTTAACTTCCATTATTGAGCTAAAGAAGTTCCCTAGCCCTTCAAGTTTACATGCGGATCTCTCTATGATGGCATTCTTCTTCCACTCTAACTTTACGATATTATCATTGCTAGTTTGATCTCTCGAATTAAGGTTTCTGATTGGATTGGTTATTAGTAAGTCTACTATACATATTATAGAGAAGAATATATGTTCATCCGGACATTGATAAGGAAATCTATTATGTTTTAAGTATATAAACTACAAAAATTTAGCAGGTTGATATGCTCAGTTATCAGGGAAAAAGAAGGTTAAAGGTATATATGTGAACATGACAATGAAGAAAAACTATTACGTGCATGCTAGTATGCTAGGAGAAATATATTTTGAAGTACAATACATAATATTGTGTCACTGTGATACAATTTATGATCTAAAGGACAAAAGAAGAAGAATACTATCTAAATAAGAAAAGTAGTAATGTTGTAAAGGAAAAAAAATACAAGACGAGGTAATAGAAAAAGATGCTACAGAACGACCCAATTATTGTTCTCTGAAGAAGTACTTTGACCCGCCCTGCCCCACCCCAATTGCCAGTTGAAAAGTCTCTATTTTGAAAATTTAGAGAGTGAGTTAGCAAAATGGAACAATCTCTCATTCAACTCCTTTACAAGTAAATGCATCAGATAGCTGTCATTGATAGGCAGAACTTGAAAAGGGATTTGAAGTTGAAGTTGTCTTCTTGATTTTAATTTGTGAAATTGATCACATGGTAGTTTCTCTGGAAATGACACTGCAAATTCTAGTCTATTTTCTGGTTGTTCTGATTCATGTTCTGTCAATAGCAGCATATACTAATCCTGTTGATGGTAAGTTGCTTTTATTCTTCTGTATCAAATGCTTCTTAACCAGTGTACACTAATATTTGATTTTCTGTGAGTACTAGTGTTCAAATCTTAGGTTTCCTTTTTTGTAATAATATGAAGAAGTTGTCTCTTAAAAAAGTACTCCAATAAATAATCCAGAGATTATGGAAAATATTCAATAATCTTGAGGGAACATTATATTAAACATTTCCTGCTCTCTTCTAGATATGGTCAATTAAGTGTTCTAGTATAGAAGAACTGATTCAATATTTTATACAGCTGCTGCTTTAAAGTCTCTCATGAATTATTGGTATGGTCCTTCCGATTGGAATGGAGCAGATCCCTGTAGGAGTAGTTGGGAAGGAGTTGGATGCAGAGATTCACGAGTGATTTCTATGTAAGAATTCGACGTGTATCCCTTTGTCAACTGCTTAAAATTACAGAAATCATATGGTTGATGCCATCTTTCTCAATTTCAGAACATTGTCAAGTATACGTTTGAAAGGTCAGCTATATGAAGACGTCCAAGGATTATCTGAACTGGAGACTTTGTAGGTTTTCCTTTAACATTTCATGTTTCTCCTGCACACCCTTTTTTCTTATGACTGAGCAATACTTTGGGATAATTTTTCAATTCTAATTATTGACTGTGTCTTATAGGGATCTATCATATAACAAAGATTTGACAGGATCTCTTCCTCAGTCTATTGGAAGATTGACAAAGCTATCGAATTTGTAAGTGAATGTGAATAATCATCGCTCAAGTATTCACTTACCAGCTAATCTCGTGATAATATGCTGATGTTTTCTTAATTTTATGACAGGATCCTTGTTGGTTGTGGATTTTCCGGACCAATACCAGAATCCATAGGAGATCTGAGGCGGCTGGCTTTTCTGTAAGCATTCTGTGGAACTCTTTGTACTTTGAACGCGCGACCAGTACGTGACATATTTTACCAGAACTCCAAAGGTCATATATGAGCTTCTTAAAATGGTTAACGTAATGTGTGGCTTTTGGTGCTAGCTGTACTCAAATTTTGGTCCATCTCCAGGATAGGCAATGCAGTTCAGTTCATGAGGAGTTTAATCCATGCTGCTATACTTGTGTTTTATACGTTATCAAAATCTGAATAGTTGTGTTTGTACCATATCTACCTGTATATGCTCTAAAACAGCCCCATTCTGTATTATGCAGATCTTTGAACTCTAACCAATTTACTGGAAGAATACCTGCTACCATTGGCTATCTGACAGAGCTTCATTGGCTCGATTTATCTGACAATCAGATAGAAGGAAACATTCCAGTCTCTGATGGGAGCAACCCTGGTCTTGATTTGCTTGTTAACACTGAACACTTGTACACATCTCCTTTTTCTTGATGTTGTTTTGTCTCTCAACTGCATTTTCTAAGATTATTTACATTTCTTCAGTCACTTTGGGAAGAATCAGCTATCCGGTGAAATTCCAGCTCGTCTTTTCCATTCTAATATGGCTCTGACACATCTGTAAGTTCCATCGAATTGGAGAATGGAGTGAATGAATAATTTTGTCTGTAAATATTGGAGACCTCACTTGTAGTTGAGCTTGCCCTTTGATATTCTTGTTAGTGCATGTTTTTACTTCTGAGAGTAGTCATGTGAAAGAAGCTTGATAATTATATCACAAACAACTTTCCTTTTGATCATGCTTTACAGTTTCCTCATGCTTGTATATTCTAACTTGTAGGCTAGTTGAGAATAACAAATTTACCGGATACATTAGGATTTGTCCAGACGATGAAAATGCTGTAAGTATTGTTATCTTGTGCTTTCTCTTTATAATCTAGTAAAATTTCTTGCTCTCTATTCCTTATAAATTGTTTCTGGTATTGTAATAGTCGTCTTGACAGGAATTGCTCAACATAGTACTATAAATATTTGTCCCCAATCATGGGCACTTACTTTTTCAGGGACATGAGCAGGAATGATTTTAATACATCAGATTTTCCTTCATGGATCCCAAGCCTGCAATCATTAACAACATTGTACGCTACTATGCTTTGTCTCTCATTTTTTTTGTATGTGTGTTTGTGTATGCGTGACCATGAGCAGGTTCACAAGTGCATGTGTATACTATGCTAGTGTATATTCCTGCATCCATTTGAATATGGACAGATTTCCATTTTTTTCCTCATTCTTATGGATTCAATTCCTAGAAATTCTTTTTAACCTTATGAATGACCTTGTATTGACAGGGTAATGGAAAAGACAGGGCTTCAGGGATCAGTTCCAGCTAGCCTTTTCAGCCTACACCAGTTGCGGACAGTGTAAGTGTCCCTTTTACTTTGTGTTGTTTTTGTATAAACTATAGATTGAGTATCTGAAATTGAATTTATCTTAACTGAAATTTCCTAACTCTGTATAATGCTGATATTCGTTGACAATGTGCTCATTGCTTTTAGCTTCTTGAGGAATAACAAACTCAACGGCTCACTTGAAATGGAATCCACATATAGCAACCAGTTGCAGCTCATTGATGTGCAAAATAATTGTATCGAATCATTTACTCAAAAACCAGGGTATCGCTTTCAGATAATGTAAGCTCTATTTCATGATTCTTCAAGCCATAGAACCTCCAAGTTGACAAGAAACACCATATGTTGGACAGTTCTTTGGCCTAGCTTATAGTGACATATGATTATTCTATGCTAAACTTGACTATATATTTTCATTAATTCATTTCTTACTTTTTCCAATGCAGGCTTAAAGGCAATCCTTTCTGCAACAACGGAGGAGAAGGGACAGAAACATACTGTATTGAAACTCAACAAAATGAGACATATTTAACCCCACTACAGAATTGCTTGGCAATTGAGTGCAGCTCTAATCAAGTTTCTAGTCCTGCCTGTAAATGTGCTTTTCCATATGTAGGCGACCTAATCTTCAGACCTCCTGCCTTTTTAAACTTGGGAAATATAACTACTTATGAGACTCTTGAAAAGTCTTTGATGCTTTTCTTCCAAGAACGTCAACTGCCCGTGGAATCAGTTTCCCTCCATAACCCAACAATAGATTCAGATGACAACTACCTTGTAATACATCTGCAAGTTTTTCCTTCTAGCCAAGATTCTTTCAATGCCACTGGAGTTGCCGGAATAGGTTTTGTGCTTAGTAATCAGATTTTCATGCCCCCGTCTTCCTTTGGACTTTATGGCTTCATTAGTGATGGCTATAAATACCTCGCTGGTAATAGAAATATTTCCTTCTTATTGTCACTCATTTCTCATCTCCTACATATTACAGAAAGTTTGTGACTGAAGAAACAATATATATATATATATATATATATATGAAGTCTGAATCTGTGTATGCTATTTTCCAGAGACATCCACCGGATCAAAAATATCAAGTAGTACAGGCGTTATCATTGGAGCCACAGTTGGTGGTTCTGTCCTTGCAATTTTAGCACTAACCATTGGTATTTATGCTTTCCGGCAAAAGAAAAGAGCTGAAGATGCTGCAAAGAGGAGCGATCCTTTTGGTAAGAGTTGGAACTATCTATTAAACCATTTACCTATTACTTCATCTTACGGTGATTGTTCCTATCTTTCTTCTTAATGTAGCATCCTGGGACTCAAATAAACATAGTGGTGCTGTTCCACAGCTGACAGGAGCTAGATTTTTCTCATTTGAGGAGCTCAAAAAATGGACCAATAATTTTTCAGAAACCAACGATATTGGTTGTGGTGGTTATGGAAAGGTTAGTTTTTATTGAACATGGGCAACCCCCTCCCCTCCACCGTCAACATAACTGAAAATATCAGTATATCAAGAAGTTTGTTTGAACCAGCTTCTCTATCCAATGAAAGAAACAATTGAAACTGTAATGAGTTTTTAAACTATAGAAGTGTGTCTCTACAGGTTTACAGAGGAACTCTTCCGAATGGAGAATTAGTTGCAATTAAAAGAGCTCTACAAGGGTCTGCGCAGGGTGCACGTGAGTTCAAATCTGAGATAGAGCTTCTCTCAAGGATTCATCACAAGAATGTTGTTGGCCTTGCTGGCTTTTGTTTCGATCGAGCTGAACAGATGCTGGTGTACGAGTATATTCCTAATGGCACCTTAAAAGACGGTCTTTCAGGTATATATTGATCCCTTCTTATTGATTCATTGAAACTAACTCCTTTTAACTTGACCAAAATGGAAATGTAATGAAATTTGTACTTGTAGGTAAGACTGGGATCAGGTTAGATTGGATGAGGAGACTGAATATAGCCATTGGAGCAGCCAGAGGTTTGCAGTATTTGCATGACCTTGTCAGTCCCCCCATCATACACAGGGACATCAAGTCCAAACAATATTTTACTGGATGGTAACCTAAACGCAAAAGTTGCTGATTTTGGCCTGTCCAGGTTTCTAGGTGAAAAGGGTCACATTACCACTCAAGTCAAAGGAACAATGGTGAGTAAAGATTCTATAAACGCCTGCCTGAACTTGTTTCGTTTTAGAATATTGTATGCTTGTATCCCTCAAACTTCTGATGTCCAGAAAGTTCAGAAATTTAATGTGTCCATAATTTCTAGTCCTGTAATAAGCATTACAAGCACTATTTCATTGTCTAGTAAGAACATCTGAAGCTCCTCCTTTCTCATCGACCACCCTTCCCTCCACCAAAAATGAGTAAATAAATAAGTAGGAACAGGAAAATACGAAAACATTTTATTTATTTTTGGCATATTCTCTCAAGGCAAGGGACTTGTAGGTAATGATGCTTCAAAACACCAAATTCAAGGAGAAATACTACCTTAATTAGGAAACAAATGAGTTGTCGCCCATATAGAATCTACAAGCAGATAGAAGCTTTTTAACGTTTGTATAATGTGATCTTGCCATGTATGAAAGGAAACAAGTTGAGATGTTGCAGAAAAATGTGTCAGTATTTACCTCATAATCTATGTCCTTTTGATGGTTGCCTTTTATATATTAGGGATACATGGATCCTGAATATTACATGACAAACCAGTTCACAGAGAAGAGTGATGTTTTTAGCTTTGGAGTGGTGCTGCTTGAGATAGTCACAGGAAAAGTTCCTATTGATAAAGGAAGATATATTGTCAAGGAAGTGAAGGATGCGATGGACATGACAAAAGATTTGTCTAACCTTCATGAAATTTTGGATCCTGCAGTTCGTTCGGGTGCAACTCCTAGAAGCTTAGAGGAGTTTGTGGTTTTAGCACTCAAGTGTGATGAAGAAAGAGGAGTCAATCGCCCTAAAATGAGTGAAGTGGTGAAACAGATTGAAAATATTATGGAGATCGAAAGACTGAACCCCTATGCAGACTATGCATCTACTTCAGCAACCTATGAAGGATCAAACAAAGGCTTGAACCATCCTTATACTGAAAGTCTCTTTGTCTATAGTGAAGCATAATTTTCTCATCTTGTATTTTTTCAATTGGATTACAAAAAAGCACAAAACAAAACAAGAAAAGAAGGGAAAATAGTCAGTATAGGGTTGGTCACTTGTACTTGAATTAGAAGTAAAATTGCCATCATTTTAGGAACAGTCTGAAGATTCAGTAACTAAGTAGTTCAGGACATTGGTTTCTCCAACAAAGCAGAAAAATACCACACATTCTTATCGATCCCTCGATCAAGCTCTAGCATAGGAAGATAAGCTACATTTAACTGTGATCCCAGGCCTCAGAGCTCTGTATATGCCATATTGAGTGAACTCAAGCATGGTATCCAGAATCCAATTGTTCAAGATACGAATAGAGTGCACGATACCCAGAGTATTCTTGAAGAAAAGAAGCCTCTGGGAGACGCCAACGTGCATGGATATTAATCCCCTGAATGCAATGAAGCTGTTGAATGAACCATCCAAATTCATGGAAGTTGTTATAACTTACAATGGTTACATTCCTTTCCTTCATCCTAGCAACTGTACCGAAGAATTCTACCGCATTCCGTGCAGCTATGTTGATCCTCCAGAGTCTACCCAAAGGTTCAAGCCAGATTGTAGGAACTGGGCGATAAGTTTTTGTATTTCAATGAGAAGTTCGACGGAACCCACGATTTCCAAGTAGTAAGTTGTCGGCATATCGCGTCGTAACTCTATCCTAGATTTAAATAGAGGTAGTCATAGATCAAAATATTAGGAATCAAAGCAAGAAAAGTAGCATTGATGGAACGGGGGATCACACCTTTAGCGAAGAAATAAGGTGATCTGCTGGAAGTTTTTGAAATCCCAACAATATTTTCTATATAAAAAGAATCTGGAAAGCCTGATGGCTTTAAAGGATAGGGGTTCAATTGTTCCCTAACTCCCGGTTGCCATAACTTGATTCTTAATTTAACATGTTATAACAGATTACTTACTACTTCATTCATCTGTCTCATTATATGTGAAGGTGTTACTATTTGGAGAGTCAAATAATTTATTTTACTACAGTTTTCTGATATTTAAAAAAAAACATTTTGAATTATTAGCTATGTTAACTTGGAATACTTTTTGTATTGATTTTAAATATGTAAATTATATTGAATCTACACCCGAAATCATAATCAATATGGAATGTCACTTACTTTCCTACTTCCACAAAGGAAGTCAATTTCAAAACCTTATTTTTTTAGAAAAAATACTTTCCAAAATTTTTGACCAATAAACATTAATAAAAAAAAAAAGTAGAAGAAAAGAATTTTATTGATATCTTTTTCTCAATAAATTCTTTCCAAAATATCAATAGCACACATATTATAAAAAAATTTACTCTTAGATTAGGCTACTTGCCAAATTCCCTTTCTTTGGACAACCAATATGAGTAGTGAGTGAACCCACCTCATTAAGACTAACATATCTACCTACCAGGCCCTTGCTTCGGATGATCATAAATAAATCAATATTAAAGTCACAATAAATGATAGGGAACTTACATATTTGGCCGCTCACCCAAAAATAAAAATCCACATATAAAAATATCTTATATATACTTTCTTTTCGTTCATTCTTACTAATTCATATATAACTTGACATACCATTTAAGGTAATTCTATATTCAAAAGGACTTGAGCCTAAGATAACTTTTATACTTTAAAAAAAAAACTAGGATGGACTATTTTTTTCATCTTAGAAGAGACAAAATCATTCTAAGAGTACTGTAAAAGTTATTTATATATGGGGTCCAATTAATGCATGATGTAAGTTGAAACATAACCTTACATAAAGGGAACTGTGTTTTTTAGCCCCTACAAGGGTGTCTCTGTTTTCGTGGACTTAGAATGTTCACTACTTACTACAGTAGTAGTATTTAGAATGATTATGTTATCACGTCGTTCGATTGGAAACAAGGTATTTTATAATTATTAATTCCAGAATAAATTATTTCATTATTACGTATATGGAATAATTTATCTTATTACTAAGATATAAATGGTGAGATAAATAATCTTAGGACTGTCTAATACCTCCAATCAAACGCACAGTAAAAAGTAGCCCTACATTTTATTTCTAAAAATTATTACATATCTTATACCTTATACCAAACACGACTGCTCAGAGAGAGAAGACTTGTATACGTAGAGAGATATTATCCTCTTGCTGTTTAGAGAACAGTTTAATCCTCAAAACAAACCAAACACTTGTGGTTTCTCTTTCTTCCCATTACTCTTCTTTTCTCTTTCTTTTTAGTATACATATTGTCCCCTAAGAAGAAACTAAGGTTGCATGGTGGTGGATTTAAACAATGGTCCAGACAAGAACAATCCAACTGATCATCTTTTGTCTGCTTATTATTTCTATGCAAATTTTGGTGCAGCTGGGAGCTTCAACAAATTCTGGTGACTGTAAGTCCTACTTATCACATCTCTTTTGTTGTTTTTTTACTCTATAATCATGAATTTAACTTGTATACACCATATCTCGAATAAAAAATAAAGGTATACTAGTACCTAGCACAGTTTAACATGTTATATCATAAGTTACTTATTGTAAATAGTTATTTTTTTAGATGATTTGAGTTATGAAAGCAAATTGTTTTCATTTCTTTTCGTTTTTTTTTACTAGGAGATATATTAGTGTCCACTATTTTAACTCCAATTTGTTTTGATCCCCTTTTCGAGTTCATTACTTAAAAGGTCATTTCAATTATTGAACACAGTAATGTTTTTCGTTGTTTTGTATCAGA